AGCCAAGACAGTCCATGTGGCTTTACTCTACGACTACCTATTTCACGCAAATAGTCACGTAGTAAACAAAAGTAATTAAGTGCGATTGCCTCTCAGAGGCAAACTAAAAATTATGCTCACGTTTCGGTACCATGCTGACAACGGCATGAGATTCACAAAGAGTACACCACCGTCTTGCCTATGAAGGCAGTATACAGACACCTAAAAATTTCGGTGCCGTACTAGCTATTTTTCATCGTGTTGGGTGACCGTTTGACAGTTCAAGAAAATGTTGTAGATGTGAATTCAAATGATCTGAATATCTTCAGTGGTTCGGTATCGTTGAAAATAACAACTACAACTGTTGGGTGACGGGTCGACACTAAATTTTATAGATGGACAAATATAGTAACTTGAAGAGAGAACACATAGCATAAAAGGAGCTCTGGCGTTTGGTCTTTAATATGATTTGGTATTATTGGCGAATTATCTTCCTTAATGTTCGAAGGTCTAGTTTAACGGTTATTGCCCGGTTAAATAAGAATTGGTAGATCTTAATCATCAAAGACGGCTAGTTTTGGCTCCTCGGCACCGTGAGGCGACCTTCAGCCCATTTTTGAGTCTTAGATTCCTTTAAACTAAAAGTTCAAAATTCACGTGGAAGAAGAAAACGAGGTTTATACGCATACCATAAAAAGAAACGCCTGTCTCCGTGCCAGCTTGAATACCAATATCATGGGAGACCAGCCGAACTGTTCCCTCTAAAAGTTGAACCAAGGCCTCGAGCAAAGGTATCTCGGAGTTAAACAAAAGTTCTTTCTGGGTTTCAATGGAGTGATTAGAAAAACAATAAATTCATACCTGGAGCTGATTTAGACGCGGCGAGCCAGAAAGGTTGAGGAAATTTAAGACTTCATCACGGGAATAGACCTTTAGAGTGTTACACAATTATATCACTTGCTTTTGTTGTCTGAGGTCCCAATTCAGGAATGAAAACACTCAGCGTGTATATGTATCCATGGCTGTTTAAATAATCGACTATAATGCCCTCGTAAATGTGCTTTTGAAAACTGCCAACTTCTGCTGGCGGAGATGGTGATTGGAGATTTTTGGCGCAAAATTCGACTATCAGTTTGTGACGCAGGTTCGTCTAAACTAGGACTTAATAAAAGACGGGGTTACTTTGAGTTCTTGAATAACACCTTTCTCTCGTAAAGTTTGGTAAAGCTTGCGACGGAGGCGAGATGAGGAGATTTCTTGAGGTAATTCCATAAGAAAACCGACGCTACTGCAAGATCAGTCCTTTTCTGAGAGAAGAGTTGTCCAGGGGATAGTTCAAACGACAAGCGCACGTTTGCACATGGTGAATTTAATTCGCCCTCCGTTTACATAATTGCTATGACGATAATGTGTTTCTTCAAGGTCAAAGTCCTGGGTCCTTAGCGGCGCAGAGAGCACACGTAGTTTTCTAGCGGAGTTCAAGAGTGCTTAGGAACCCTAGAGTGGTTTTGGAGGCTGGCAGATAACCACTTGCTGAGCATTAGCCGTCAAAACGTGAGGATGGAGCTAATTACTCTTAAAATGCGGAAGAATCGAGGAAACGAGCATAAATTGACATGAATGGAGGCAAAAGAGACAAAACGCAAGTGAAGTGAGGAAAAATCCTAAAAGACAGACAAGTATCAGTGAACATTGAGAAGGCGAGACGTCAGTCCTTAGTGGTAGCCAATATCGTCTTGAGAGGGTGTTCATACTGGTCAACCGTGTTAAAACATTTCTGCCCTGAACGTTTGGCAGACTTCTGCTCATGAGGAGGACATAAAAATAATTTATTGCTCTCACGCGCTCCCGCACGAAAGAGGTTAAAGAAATGTGCCACAGTCTAACGTAGTCCTTACGTATCTGTGCCGACTTCTGTAAATTTTAAAAAGTAGTCGTTTTTGACATGCCAACCAATATGCGTGTGCTTTTTGGACTCACCAAACTACTTCAAGTGGTCCGCGTGTCTAGCAGAGATCATGCTCACACGGGACTGAGTACTGCAATGAAAATACTTCTTGAAATGAATTTAAATGTGCTAGGTGGAGGTGAGGCTGTGATTACTCTGGCCATAAGTGGCCGGGCGTGTTCCGATAAATTAAAGTGGAATTATAATCTGTCTCAGGTTATACTGTCAGGCCACTCCTACCGACCGCTTTTAAGGTAAGTATATACCGCGAAAAGGCTAAATCGCCCGTATACAAGCATTTAGTATGGCCAGTGTTGCTGAAATTTGGGCATCACAAGAGGATAGGATTCAGTGCGGGTAACTGCGTCCAGCTGCTGCTGTTTATGTGGCAGCATTTATCTTTGACGCAACGACAAAGCACTCGCGGAGTATTTGAAGAATGTCGACGTCGTGACTTCCTAGGAATATGCAAACAGAAATAATTATATATCGCCGATAGCTTTCAAGAGAACGCAAACGGAAGCTTGCTTGCATCAGCGCACGGCGAACATAGAATATAAGCTCCACAACTCATGACCTATAACAGACACGAATGAATACCCGAGATACTTCATTAAGCAAAGCAAGCCCTGAAACAACAGACGACGGCCACAAAAAGGACAACCCGAACTCTGCATGGCTATTCCTTACATTAAAAGAGTCTTTGAGGCGGTTTCACGACTATTACAACCCGCCAGGATAGGCATTGCCCATCGACCCCAGGCAACAATTCGTCGCCGTTTGATGCAACCCAAAGACATACTGCCGCCCACTGAAACCTCAACAGCTGTCTATCAAATACGTTGCAAGCATGTACACTATAACTACATTGGGGAAACCGGACGGAAATTGTAGACCCGCCTACATGAGCACAAACTGACAACTCGGAGACTAGACCCAAACTCACAGCTTGCAGCTCACATCGGAGAAACTGGTCACAGTTTTGATTTTCAAGGAGCGGTCACGACATAAATGTGTCTGAAGTTATTAAGGATCTGGATGTATCGTACTCCAAGAGTCTTAATCTTTCGGAGCACTGCACTCTGATAGCCTCCACAGCACGCAAAACGAACGGGTTTATCCCTCGGAATTTTAAAACCAGCGATATTAGAATGCGCCTTTGTGATATGTACGTCAGGCCTGGCCTGGAATGCTGTTCGTTTTTATTTAGCCTTGTGCGTGTTGCTGCGCGGAAGAAAATAGGATCCGTTCAACGTTTATTTTATCAAGAGGTGTTTGACCTCGGGCCGCTGATACTTGATCTATGAAGAACGTTGCGTGCTTGCAGACCTTGGCCACTTGTGGTTCCGTCGATTACAAAAAAGGCTATTTTCACTATTCAAGCTTTTAAACGGTCGTACATTTAAAACGTTTACTACTTTTAAACATCTTTACCACCCCCGACGTAACAGTCACTACGAGATCTTTTTATTTCTTCCTCTGGCAGGTAACATTAAATATCGCCGGTCCCTTCCTCTGCACACAATTGCTATTTAAAACAAATTACCCAGAAATGTAAGAATTCTGCAAAACTATTCTTTGCTTAAGAGGAATATTACTCGTTTTTTGCATTCGGAATATCGAGTTGATGCCAGTGGTGCAACATCTATTCGCGGCGAATTTAAAATTTGGGACATTTAGAATAATGCCTACTTAATTAAGTAGGCGTGCTTCTATAACTTTCATGAATCTTTTGCGATTTTGTGGGGTTCAGCGGTCTTGTCCATTGCGTTAGCGCTTGCGCTAGCTGTGAAACTATCATTTCACGCAATTCTACTAGTGGTCTCGGCTGCAGAAAGAGGGTGCTGCATTATTTCCCTATTTGAGATATTGCTAGTGATTTCTGCAGGTAGTATATGACGCATTATTTACGGTAGCTCCATCATTGGCGATATCGATACTTGCATTATTAAACTCTGCGTTAAATACAACAGCAGCAACAATAATAATAGTAATCAGAAGACGACGTGGCGGGCACACATAGCTTTCGATAAATTCTCGTCGGGTCAGTACAGTTATATGGGAACGGGGTAGAAGTAAAACATGTCAGCGATAAGAGAAATCGGCAAAAGTTCTCCTTAAAACACAGGCGGGATGTGGGAATGTGGGGGAGTGTTAGAAGCAGTCAGTGTCAGAGGCTGGGTGAGAGCGGAAGTGCGCAGAGAGTTGCAGCGTTAGTCGACCCTCGACCACTCTAGGCGCGGAGCCTGAACGTGGTTCTTCTGTGCGCATAAGATTGGCTTTCTTAACCTAGTAATGATGATAGTAGTAGTAGTAGTAGTAGTAGTAGTATCGGCAGCAATAGTAGTCATAGCAGTAGTAGGGATATACACAGCCCCCACGGGTGTTTTGCAATATCATGAGTCGATGCGAACTTCGTTATCTTATGTGTACTTGCAGTAGTAGTAGTAATAGGACTCGTAAACTAAGCAGTCCGTACTGCCTTCGCCGTACTTGCGTAGGGACAACATCATCAGTAGTAGGATCTGCAGTGCCATATATTTAACTGACTGTGCTCGTAACACCTTTTGCTAATGTCATCAGGATTTTTTATGTGCTTGCAAAATTGCTGATGTAGGAGTTGTTTTGGCAAAAGCAGTCCGACCCCTGTGATATTAATTTAACAGGTAACCAGGTAAGAAAGTATCCGTTTTCCTATACTCTACACAGCGATGTATGTCTTCGCGTTGGAAGCAGCACAGTACGTTTTACAGAAGCGGTAATACTTAGAGAAGATTGCGTTGCGTTACATCCCTTGGGGTTGCGGTAGGCGTGTTCCTCACTGTCATTTCCGCAGTGGCAGTAAAATATGGGGTTCCATTAGTAGCAGCAGCCATAAAATAACCACGGGCTTCGATATCTCGCCCACGTAGGCGTATTATTTGCGCACTTACTTTGCTACTGTTAATTACAGTATTAGTCATATTCAGTAGTCGTAATATCCGCAGTATTACTGGCAAATGTAACAGTAACAATCTCAGTAATAGTAGTTTGACATGCGCTACTATCATTAGTAGTAATAGTAGTTGTAGTATTAGTAGTAGTAGTAGTAGTAGTAGTAGTAGTAGTAGAGGCAGTAGATGTAGTAGTAGTAGTTGTTGTGGCAGTAGTAACAGTAGTAGTAGTAGTGGTGGTGGTAGTAGTAGTGGTGGTAGTAGTGGTAGTAGTAGTGGTGGTAGTAGTGGTAGTAGTAGTAGTAGTAGTAGTAGTAGTAGTAGTAGTAGTAGTAGTAGTAGTAGTAGTAGTAGTAGTAGTAGTAGTAGGATAACGCGCAATTGTAGTAATACCGATCCAAGTATAGAGATAAAAGTTGTGCCATACATAATGGTGACAGTGTCGGCCGACTTAACCAGTCGTACAAGAAACCGAGAATGTACTAGTCTTGAAAGTAGTATTAGCAGCAGGAATGCAATTAATGATTGTTTACATCAATGATTACAGTTGTGCTCGTTGCCAAAATGATGGCAGCAGGTTATGGTAGTAGATGTAGTAGCAGTTATGACAACTCCCATTTCTTGCAATAGTAGCTGTACTATTGGTCGTCGCAGTTATAGCGCCGTAATAACAATGTTAATGTTTCTAGTAAAATTTGCATTCATAGGCGCGTTAGTTTTAGAAGTTTTAGCGATATGATTGACCTTTCCTGCAGTGGTAATATTGGTAGTATTAGAGGCAGCTGCAGTAGTAGTAATAACAGTAGTTTTAGTACCTCAATAACAGCATTACTCGTCCAATTATTAGGCATTCTAAGTACAGATTTACGAGTCCCTGTACGGTAATAGCGTTAATCGTAGTAGTAGCAGTGGCACTACTAGTAGTAGTGATAGTATTATTATTATTATTAGTAGTAGTAGTAGTAGTAGTAGTAGTAGTAGTAGTAGTAGTGCAAGTTGTGGTAGTAGCATTTGCTGTTGTAGCCGTCATAGTATTAGGGATAGTAGTATTAGTAGCAGCATTATTGGTAGCAGTGACGGTCGTATTGCCAATAGTAGTAGCAGTAGCAGTAATAGTAGTGGCCGTTGCAGTATTTGAAATATTATTGGAGGCTGTATTGGTAGCACGGATGGCTCTAGCAGTTCTACAATTTGCAGACTACGTTGGCGGTACAAGACACAGTATTTGCCGTCGGATAGATTGCCATAGTAGCTTTCATTGCAGTAGCATCAGAAGCAGTATACCCAGCCGATGTAGTGTACCATTCTATGCCAATTGATGACGCTTTTGTAGGATTCGACGCCGCAGTAACCGCCACGTTTTCTTCTAGTATTTACAGGAAGTCTACTACCAACAGCAATACCATCAGCAGCGGTTTGATCTGTCTTGGTACTCAAAGTCGCACCACCGTTCGTAGTAGTATCTGTATTAGTGCCACAATTAGCAGTCGAATTATCTGCAGTTAGAAAAGTATCGTTAGTATTCTAGGTGACATTAGTAGTACAAGCTCCAGTATTGGTTTTGGCGACAGTAGTAGTAGTAGTAGTAGTAGTAGTAGTAGTAGTAGTAGTAGTAGTAGTAGTAGTAGTAGTAGTAGTAGTAGTAGAAGTAGCAGTAACGGTGGCAATTTAACTAGCAGGTGCTATAATCGTGGCAATATCTTTATGGTAGCAGTAGTGCCATTCGTGTAGTTGTTGTCCAACTAGTAGTCGTACTACGATCACTGATGCTGACAGTATGGACTGCGGTAGTAATTCAGGTAGTGCGAAAATGGTCCGGGCAGCATAGTCGTATTTGTGTTTGCATAAGGGAAGACAGCAACTCTGCCAGTAATAACGGGCAAAATCGGTATACTGGCCTATACAATACTCCAGCTACTAATCGCATTACGGGAATTTCTCGCAGTATACGTCGGCGTAGACGCATTTTAATTATTTCTTGTCGGTCTCACCCACCGTATACATACGAACAATGACTATAGATTCGGTAGTCGCAGCATTTATGGTATTAGCAGCGACAATAGTATTTGTAAGATTACCTGTTTATGCACTACTGCTGTTTTCCGCGGTAGTACTGGTCGTTGTAGCAGTCTCAGTGGTTGTCGTGGCAGTAGTCAATGCGCCGGCATCAGTTCTCGCAGTACTCCCAGTAGTAGCCGTTCGGAGTTCTAGTAAGAGTCTAGTTCGAGTCTCAGTGGTGCCATATCTTGGGGCTGGGTGCGGTTGGATGATGACGGCTAGTAAGCCAAAAGATAGTCATGCCAGTTACCTTGTCTTTGTCGGTAATGTTATTCTGCCCACAGTATGCTTCGCTGTGCTTCTACTGACCGAACTGGAGAGAGAGAGCCTCCACGCACAGCGGGTCAACCGCGTTTCTTAACTCGAGCCATGAGTATCTAACTACCATTATCCATTTACTTGTTCGTAACCAACAGGACGAGCTTCTGCGTAAACTGTTACAGCGTTGTACGGCTGCACAGCAAATAACGCATTCATATCTCTGCGTGTTACGTAATTTGGAGATTTGCTTTGCTGGCTGACGACGGCTGACAAGCCCGAAATGGGCATTCCAGTCCACCTTGTCATTGCCGATAGTTTTATTCTTGTTATAGTAGACGTTGACGTACTGTCGGAAGTAGTGTGGTCGACAAGACTAAGATTCCCAAGTCAAAAGTCAGGGAAGACGGACTCGGTTGGACAACCTTTACTGCTGTGGAAGGGCATATACAAAGACTCGCGAGCAATCGCCGCGAGCACGCTCTATAGGCAATTTGTGTTGTCCATGTCCGCCGTCGAGGTGCTCCGACCCAACGCGTGCATGCGCCTTTCGTTGTCTCGGTGTTCGCCAGCCAATCAGAAGAGGGACAGCGTTGATTGGCTTCGAGCACTCGTGTGGCTAGAGATAAGCCTCGCGCGTCCCAGCAGCGGATGGACATGGAGTGTGAGGCGGACAGGAAGGCAGCGTGACAAAGGCGGAGGGTAAGGAGACGCGAACTGCCATAGCACCACAGCGGTCGCGTCTGCAGTATGTCTACCATTGGTGCCCGTAATGTTTGCTTTCGCAGCCGTACCCGTAGTATTACCAGTTGTAAGAGAACTATCAGTAGATATCCTAACTCATGAAATGTTGACTGACATTCAACAAAGATTACTTACTTACGGTTGTCAAATCAGTTGTAGTGTCGCAAACTGTTAAGATATCCAAGCCACTTCCGGATGCTGGATTACGAGCGATCTCCTAATCGACTAACTGCACAAACTACATCCTGAAAAAACTGTCCACTCACATACCATGACTTGTTCCCCTTGATTTTCTACGCCTTTATAAGTCTATATACATATTCAAATAGACTTTATATAAAACATGTACAGAAACATTCGCTCCTTTAGTCACTTTGTGGAAAAGTGCGTGTGCTTCAAATGTTATACTTCGGGAAGGAGTATCTTCCAGTGCTAAAAACTCTACCCAGTTACTGATAAACTTCGACACCGACCCTCCATCACACTTGCATTCAGAGTTTCCGAACTACAACTTGCATACTTTTCGTGCGAGAAAGGCCATATATTTCTATATGCGACCATAAAGAGAACATACGACACTTAAACTTTTGCGATGTTTGTGGACAACGTCGTATACTTCATGCGTGGCATTAACATGCGTGCTACTGTGAGTCTGCGCAATTGGAAATTTAACGGCGTTGGAAAATCTCACAATCAGAAACGTTTTTGAAAACGGAAAGATATGTTTTTTCAGATATGCAATTTTAAAAAAGATTTATTCTTTTACCAATTTACCACAAGAAAGAATGCTTTTGTGTGTGCTCTATAAAAATTGCATTTGATTATATGAGATCGCCGGAAATCAATGAAAAGACCCACGCCACATAAGCGGTCATTTTATACGCAATGCATTTCGAACAGGCTGTTTACAAGGAGCTCCTTCGGAAGCCAGTATCCCCATGTGACTGGGATTGCGTGGTATTATGCGTCAGAACAATTTGCATGATAACCCTACTTAGGTATTCTTTTCGAATTGGAAACGCATTTTAGAATTTTGGTTAACCTTTCATAAGAGAGCATAGCTACTGCGAGTAATGGTTAGTAGTAATTCACATAGGTTCAAGTGGGAATCCGAAACGTCAGGCGAATAAAGTCCTTGCTCCAGGGATTGCTTTTTCTTCTGACCAACTAGTTTCTGGAACTCGCATCTTCGCTTGTATGGGCAATTTGTTTGGGCGCGACGCGCTGCGATCGGCCCGACGATGGGAAACTTTTGCCCTTCGAGAGGCCTCTACTTATGAGCAAAAATGACAATTTTATTTGATGTCAGTTCATGGGCATTTGTGAAGACTAATAAAGCACGCATCCAGATGGCAGTGAAAAAACTGAAGAATTAAATATGGGCGGTGGCGTTTTTGCATAGTTCAGGAGAAAAAAGATTGCTGCCCGTGAAATGGCGGCCGTCGAAAATGGGAATGGTAAGGATTGCATCGGATGTTTTCACTCTCCGTTCCTTTTCATTACATTGCGACCGCACCGAACAGACGGCATGTGAGAACAAGTGATCGCTGTCGGCTAAAAAAATCGTCCGTGGTCTTGCGGGTCGTAGAGTGAGCATCATTCCGCACAGGATGAGACCGGGGAAAGAGATCTGAGACCACTTATTCCATCACTGCGGAAAATTTATTCAGTAGATTCAGCACCCAAAATTGTGGGTTTTTCTACATTTAAAAAACGAGTAATAGTCTTCTTAAACAAAGAAAAATCTTGCAGAATTCTTACATTCCTGGGCAATTTGTTCCAAAATGCAATCGTGTTCACAGAAAGGAACCGATGATATTTAACGTCACGTGCCAGCGGAAGGCATAAAAAGACCTCACGGTGACTACCAGGCCAGGGGTGATAAAGATGTCCCAAAGTAGCAAGCGGGCCAGAAGTACGGTTGTTCAAAAGCTTACACAGTAAAAATAGTTCCCTTTTAGTCGATGAAACCTATAAAAGATCAAGGCTTATTAGTTGATAACGGTCTTGGCAAGTCACATGGCGAGGTTCTGAGGGTAAGACTCCCATGAGAAAAAAAAGTGGACGGATTCTACTTTATTCCGCTCAGCAGTATGCAGAGGGCTAAAGTAAAAACGAACAATATTCCCGGCCTCGTCTAACGTACATTTCACAATGGCACATTCTAGTATCGCTGGTTTTGCAATTTTTTTGGGGGGGGGGAGGGGGGATAAACCCGGCCGTTCTGAGTGCTTTGGAGACTATCAGAGGCGCAGTGTTCCAAAGATTAAAACTCTTGGAGTACGACACACCCACATTCTTAATTTCAGGTACATTTCTTTGGTGACTGTCAATGCTCAGTCGAGGCTGATGGTCGTCGTCAAAC